GTTTGTACACAGTTTAAAACCGATTGTTCTGGTGTGGTAGCTTTTTTTGTTAATCCGTTCATAAGCAGTTTTTAATACGTTCATCTCGTCTTTATTCCGTCTGCAGTACATGGGTATCAAGTTTAGATCGGGTTAAATTGTGCGTTTGGTCTACACAACGTAACCAAGTAGTTCAATTATGTACTTAATCAGATTAAAACAGTTGACAATTAGTTGTACCTCGTTCTCAATACGTCCTAATATGTTACTGAATTATCCACCAAATTTCCATACTGTTGAACTCGTTCTAAAATAGTAAACATTGTGTCCCTAATCCGTGCAGAACGCATACTACCTTATTTTCCTGATTGGTACTCACGGCTGCAAATCACGCCTGACTACACAACGTCGTAATATGTCCGTAGTAGGATTGAAGTACGACTCTTCCGTTCGTAGTGTGTCCCCAGTGCGTCCAGGTCGTCTTAAGTATGTTGTCACTCGTGCTGATTGCAGAACGTGACTATCATCAGAAAATTTTGAGCATGCTTTAAGTTTTGAGGACCTACTCGTTCGATTAGTTTCATTAAGTTTGTAACAGATCCCAAACGGTTCTTAGTGGGTTCTTAGTACGTCAAATCCATTCGTACACAGTTTTAGCCCGTTTTCGAGAACGTAGTGAGAACTAGTTTGGTGTGATAGTATGGTTAACATACTGTTTTTTCATTATTCATCGAAAACTACCGCAAAACTACCACATTTTTTCAAATTCTTCCACAAAACTAGTTTTTTTAATTTACCGCAAAAACGCATTTTTTCAAAATCTACCGTAAAAGTACCGCATTTTTCGAAATCTACCGTAAAACTACAGCATTTTTCGAAATCTACCGTAAAACTACAGCATTTTTTATAAATCTTCCGCAAAACTTCCAGTTTTTCAAAAAACTATCGTCAAAATCTACCGTTTAATTACCGCATTTTTTCAGAATCTTCCGCAAAACTACCGATTTTTCAAAAAACTACCGCATTTTTTAAAATCAACCGTAAAACTACCGCATCTTTTATAAATCTTCCGCAAAACTACCAGTTTTTCAAAAAACTATCGTCAAAATCTACCGTTTAATTACCGCATTTTTTCAGAATCTTCCGCAAAACTACCGATTTTTCAAAAAACTACCGCATTTTTTAAAATCAACCGTAAAACTACCGCATCTTTCTAAATCTTCCGCAAAACTACCGCTTTTTTTTAATTTCTACCGCAAAATTACACTTTTTTCAAAAATCTACCCCAAACCTCTGAAACTACAGTATTTTTTAAAAATCTACCGCAAAAACTACCTTTTTTTTAAATCGACCGCAAAAACTACCACATTTTTGTTGAAAAATACCGCAAAATCTACCGCATTTTGAAAAAAAATTTCACAAAAATACAGCAATTTAAAAAAAATCTACAGCAAAATTTTTGTCTCAGGTTGGCAGGTATTTATATTTTAAATTCGTGAACTCAAACGAATATATATTACAAGAAATATAATTTAATTCCTTGTTGTTGTGAATTATAAATTTTGGGTTGTCTAACCCATGATCTGTCTTATTAAATAACTTTGTAATATGAAATTTACTTTTATCTTTCATCATCCTTTGTAAAAATTTATACTCATATGAGAATAGAAAATGGACTGCTAAAAGAGGAGTACAATCTGTAGGTACATGTATTCCTACATTCTGATGTAAAACTGTATTCCAAACTTAACAAATATATTATCAATAAGAAAGCCTAACACCTCACAGAATTGTACTGCAGTGAAAGAAATATACGTTCACTAGAAAAGAAAGCCCTTTTTGAATTACAGTTAACATATTTAAATTTACTACCCGTCATTGTCTTTTTAATGATTTCAAATATTTCATCTTTTAACTTGTCATGAGGAATTGATGTGTTAGGTGTAGAAAAAGCCCACGTTGAAATACATTTAACTTATGAATAAATCAGGTCATTAAATTTTGATGAAAGATCTTTGGAATTTTTAAGGATCCACATATGGTTAACCCCGGAATTTCTAAAAATAGCCTTACAATAAGTCTCCCTATATGTCTCACTCTTAAATAATTAATATTTAGGAGTAAACTATCTCACATTTTTGTGACGGTATTGATTTGAAATAGAGCCTGGAATAGAACCTTAAAATCCTGTAAGAGATGCTCTATAATCCCTACAGAAATATGGCACTTACCACAAATAGTTATACTCCTGAGCTCTACACTTGAATTACACACTAAAATGTCCTTTAAATTCTCTATTTCAAAACAATAGCACCATTTTTTGTAAATCAACTGTCATTGGTGTATCACAAACCCAACAATTACATAAAAACTGTCCTCAGCAATATCATAATTAAGCAGTGTCTCACTCTAAAATAATTAATATTTAGGAGTAAACTATCTCACATTTTTGTGACAGTATTGATTTGAAATCGAGCCTGGAATAGAACCTTAAAATCAATGTTTGATTTTACAAACTTTGTGAATGCAACATTGCTCCACCTATGTCATTAACTCAATATGTATGAAAATTACAGGAATTCGAGCACTTTCTTGTGTTAATCTTTAAGTATCTAACTCCTGTTAGAAACTTTTTGATCGACCCTTGTAGGTTCAAAATACTCAATGTTATTTAATTGCCATCAAATCTATAAAAAATATTGTAAAATTGCACCTGCCACGGTTGTTATATGATTAAATTCATACTGGAAATCAGGTATTCAGGAATTGTTTAAATTTTGAAAAATTGTTATTTTAAAATCGGCCTATTGGTGTATTAATGCAATATGATACAGCAATTCACCTCATCACACGGTCTCGTTTAGACCGTTCCGTATTAGTGGTTGCATTGACATTAATACGGAATAAATCATACCATTTCATGAAAAATGGTGACCTTGTCCTACGGAAATTGAGATTATGCTTCACAGCACGGCAATACTGTATAGCACATGCTCCGGGGAATTGATTCTACTTTCCATAGACACCAAACACATCTCTGTCGATAGAATAATAATAAAAAAGCCTTAAGGCCCCAACCTCCTTTGTTTACATTTACAAAAACGTGAAAAAATGACAAAAGTTGTCATCACTTGTTAAATCTAAATCTGTTGAAACAGATTTCACTTGCTAGCGACAGATACTTTAGTCTTTCACGAACCGAACATGTCAGTTTGGTTCGTAATATCTCCAAATAAACAATTTCAACATTTTGAAAAACTCGATGCTAGTCCACGTGTTTATAAGGAATGGGTATACAGTTTCCAAGTGTTAATACGGAATGGGTGTTAAATCATATACATTCCAGGGGAAATCACAATTTCCATAAAACTTGCATTGATAATTGTTCTGATAGCTTGCAAATGGCACGTTAATCGACGACGTCAACACGTCCGTCAAACGCAAGGATTTAATGTACATAAACAGTGTTCTCTTTTTTTCTTAAGTATATCAACGGTGTTAACGCGATAGCTTTACGCCCATTAATAGTAAAGATAGGTTGTTGTACTGTTTCTCATTGCATCTAATAGGTAGTAGTTTACCAACGGCTTCAACTCAGCAGCCTGACATCTGTCAACACCAGGTACCGCTTGTTCATAAACATTCATTCTTTTTCATTATTTTATGTAACAAATAATTTCATCCCTTTATGTAACAGTTTATGTGAGGACGCCAACTGTTGGCTTGAAACACAATAAAATCTTGAATATTGTTTATCACGTAACCACTCCAATTCTTGTGGATAGAATAAACATGATAATAAAAGCACCAACAAACATCTGAGTGTTTTGTTAACCAAGTTTGACCCAGTTCACCATGCATTAATCCTGTTAGCTAGCTGTACTAAGTTTATGATCCCAAATTAATCATGCGCTCCTTATTAATCCCCTCAATTATTACTATGAAGTGTTAACTATTCCGCACCGCCAAGCCCAAAGAACTGCGCGTACACAGATGAGGTATGTTATTTTACGTCTATTTTCAATTCTTATAAGGATACCAAATCATGTAGGCTAGTCAGCCAAACCTTTTTTCATAGCGGTTATCATACTTTCATCAAAAACCTGAACCCGCTTTTCAAGATGCCTCGACCTTGTAAGAAGAGAAGCTGTCCATTTGAATTTAATACAGCAAAACGAAGCTTACATTTTCATATTGTTTCCCTGTGAAATAAAAATTGTAGTATAGTTGTCATTACTTATGCGATATTCCCTATCACAGTGTCTAGTGCTGGCACTCAAATGATTTTCTTGCGAAGGTTTGGTACATCCTTCAAACCGGCATGACACTCTTACCCTCTCCATGAGGAATGAAGTTATAACTAAATGCCCATGCTACTGAAACCAGTAGTCAAGGTATTATGTTTCATACCCCAAGTTAAAACATACTAATATTGTATGACACTACAAATTATCTTAATTGCTTCATTTCATTCACGAGTTCACCATTTCGTTCATTGAGTTTACTTCTTGAGTCGACCAATTCCGTATTATCACATGGACTAGCATCAAGTTTTTTAAAATGTTGAATCGTTTATTTGGAGATATTACGAACCAAACTGAAATGTTCGGTTCGTCAACGACTAAAGTATCTGTCGCTCGCAAGTGAACTTTTGTCATTTTTTCCCGTTTTTTTGTAAATGTAAACAAAGGAGGTTGGGGCCCTAAGACTTTTTTATTATTCTATTGACAGAGATGTGTTTGGTGTCTATAAAAGTAGAATCAATTTCCTAGAGCATGTGCTATTCAGTATCGCCGTGCGAACTTGCTGTGAAACATAATCTCAATTTCCGTAGGACAAGGTCACCATATTTCATGAAATTGTATGATTTATTCTGTATCAATGTCAATACAACCACTGATCACCTTCAAAGATATACAAATTACTTTATCATCTTGCTATATCATTTTAATGGTTCAACTTCTAACTAAGCACATTTATTGAAAATAACAGTAAGTATATCTTCATTTATTTATCTTATTGGTTGTCCATCTCACAACTTGTATATTTAATTGTTGATTAAAAAATAATCTTTCATGGTCCAACCTACTTTCTCAACATCCAAATGTCACAATAAACACCAGTCCATCGAGGAGTACATATGCACTTGTAGATCCCATCCAAGCCAGGTGTGAGATTGAGACATGTGGCTCCATTTTGACATTCATGTCTTTCACATGGTTGCTTTTCTATCTCACATTCATCCCCTCTAAAATTTTGAGTGCAACAACATCTGTTTTGAAAACAAGCCCCTCCATTCAAACATGGTCCTCTCACTGGACATTCTATATCAGAATCTGGTGGGATCACCTTTACAATGCAGTTATATTCTGGTCTCATCCAGCCAACAATACATTTCTTATACCCTGTTTGACAGTCGCATGTGTAATGCCCAGAGCAGTCATTCTGGGGCTGGCAGAATATTTCACATAGATGGCCATAATGCCCAGGTGGACATCTATGAATGTATGTCTCACAGTCTGTTCCTTCAAAGTTTTGGCAACAGTTACATGTATAGCCTCCCACTTTTGGATTACATGTTCCCCCATTTTTACATGGACTACTTGCACAATAATCTATGAAGGTCTCGCATCTGTCTCCAGTGTAATAATTATCACAGCAACAACCTTCTCTGTAACATCTCCCATAAACGCAAGGAGAGTCCCTAGGGCAGTCTGGGTCTACTGGTGGAGGAATCGTTTTTATTTTACAGTCAAAATCAGGGCTAGTGTATGAATCCAGACATACCTTAGTTCCTGTATTAGGATTACATGTATAATGGCCTCTATCACAATCATCTGCTGCAAGACAGTGCACATTGCAAGCTGGGGGATTGTAGTAATTCAATGGACATTGTGGCTGGTATGTTTCACAATGAATCCCAGTGAAGTCCTTCAAACATGAACATATGAACCCACCCACCATAGAATTACATGTTCCTCCATTGAAACAAGGTTGACTTGTACAATAATTAATGTAGGTTTCACACCGATGTCCAGTGTAATGTTCATCACAGCAACAACCTCCTTTATAACATCTCCCATGAATGCAAGGAGAGTCCCTTGGACAGTCTGGGTCAGTTGGTGGAGGTGTTGTCTTTATTTTGCACTCCATCTCAGGATAGGTATACCCAGGAAGGCATACCTTTGCCCCAGTATTTGGGTTGCATATATAATGACCTCTATTACAATCATCGGCAGCAAGACAGAACACATTACAACCAGGTAAATTGTAGTAGTTTGGTGGACATTGTGGATCATATGTTTCGCAGTGTATCCCAGTGTAAAATCTTGGGCATGTACAAATGTATGATCCAACCATAGAGCTACATATGCCACCATTGAAACAAGGTTGACTTAGACAGTAATCTATAAGTGCTATACATCGAGGTCCAGTGTAGTGTTCATTGCAACAACATCCTTGTCTGTAGCACCTTCCATTACCACATGGGGAGTCAGCTGGACAATCTGGATCGGATGATGGAGGGATTGTTTTAATTTTACAATTATTTTGAGGGCTTGAATATCCTGGAAGACAAACTATTGCTCCAGTATTTGGGTCACATGTATAATGACCTCTCTCACAATCATCTGCAGCAAGACAGTACACATTGCAAGCAGGCGGATTGTAGTAATTTGGTGGGCATTTTGGATCATATGTTTCACATTGGGTTCCTGTATATTCAGGATGGCAAATGCATGTATAACCCTCATCAGTTGAGATACATGTCCCATCGTTCTTACAAGGATTGCTTGTACATGAGGTTCTTCTGATGTCACAAAAGTCCCCAGTCCACTGATCAAAGCAACAGCATTGGTTTTTATGGCACTGTCCCCCAACACAAACACCATTTTCTGGACATTCAGGGTCTATAATTGGAGGAACTGTCCTTAATGTACAGTTTATATTTGGCAAAGCCCAACCATCGAGACATATTTTCTCACCAGTGGTTGTGTTACACTCATAATGTCCATGTATGCAGTCATTTGCAGATTTACATAGAGTTTCACAGTTCCTACCATAATAATTTGGAAGACACATACACTCGTAACCTATTCCAATATTTTTCCTACATGTGCCCTGATTTTGGCATGGCTCACTCAAACATTCATTGATAGGCATCTCACAAAATTGCCCTGTCCATCCACTGAGACAACAACATGATTTCTTATGGCATTGACCATTAACACAGACATGCTCATGGGGACACTCAGTATCAAGTGGTGGCGGTATGATTCTAACTGTACAATTGATTTCAGGAGTCTCCCAGCCTTCAAGGCAATCCTTTGCACCTGATATACTGTCACATGTATAGTGACCATTTTGACAGTCGTCAGCTGGTTTACAGTAAATGTTACAAAAGGAACCATAGTAGTGTGGTCCACAGAGACATTGATATCCATCAGGGACTGTTACACATGTTGAACCATTACCACATTGGTTATTGGAACAATCTATTGGTATATCACAAGTTGGTCCAGTCCAGTTTTCGAAACAACAGCAGGATTTATTGTGGCACTGACCAGCCCCACAAGTTGTTCCTGTATCTGGACAATCTTCATCTATAGGCTTAGGAATGATTTTCAGATTACAATTCAGTTCTGGCAGGTCCCACCCATCTTTACACACCTTGGCACCAGTCGTTGCATTACATGTATAGTGCCCTCCCTCACAACTGTCTTCTGCCTTGCAGAACACTTGACACTCTGGTCCATAGTAGTTAGGAGGGCAGGTGTCATGCCCATTCCCATCAGACCTTGCACTGCTTGAGGAGCAGCCCTATAATAATCACATAACAGAACAAAATTATAATGAAAAATAAATGTAAAAGAGTTTTAGCTTGTAGTTTTATTGATTTTCTACAGTGCAATTTATTAAAGGCTATTTCAAACCGGGGTAGGTTATATTTTTTAATTTTGGCGCCTGTTACGATGCCACAATGGAAGTGGCTGCTATGTTCTCTGAGGGAATTACAGGCCTGTCAACTTGGGAACACCTAACATGAGTGACTTGGAAATGTTGAACACCTCCCCTCAAAATGTGGACACCTTGGTCCAAATCTGAGCACCTTGATCCAAATTTTGAACACCTTGGTTTAAATTTTATTACATCTTGCCAAATTTTGAACACCTCAAATTTTTCGCACTCGCTACGCTCGCGTTGCAAACATCAATCAACGGGAGGGGGGGTAGGTACGAAAAATTTCGAACGGAATGCTTAACATATACGTAATTCGCGTGAAAAGTCCGAATGAAATGCGTATGTTTTTTTTTCGGCGTTCGTATTTTTGCTGTGTAGACGAACTTTTTTAGAAATTTTTCTACAGAAATATTTTTGCTTGACAATTACCAGGTAAAATGCGTATTTGCGTGACTGTCACGCAAAATTAACTGGCGTGACTTCAAATTCTTCAGCAAATGCGTGACAAATACGCAAATTGCGGGACAGTTGACAGGCCTGGAATTAAAATAGCCTTACTTTATTAATCTCTGTAAAAAACTTGTTCTTTTCAAATTAGTTTGTGATCCTCATTGAATGCATCATGTAATCTTTCTCTTATTATTCATTGCATTGCATCAGGTTTTTGATTTAAAGGTATGGTGTCATACCTTTTTTGTCATTTTATCATATTACTCACCATATACGCATAACAGATTAGAAGAAATGGTAATATTGTATTCATCCTCAACATGAATATGAGCAAAATATGATAACAATGCACATAAACCTTTTATAACCAGTTAATTCTAAAAATTCAGAGATAACATGCTACTTACTGATAAAGGAAGGTCCATTGGATTATAGTCTTACCTTTTCAAAACAAATCTGGGAAATGTACATGAAAGAAGTAAAGACAAATAAGAAAGCTACATTGTAGTTTACCAAAGCATAATTTGTCTGCCCTTTTTATCTATTAAGCTTGATTAGTTGTTACAGGTAGAAAGAGTATAGTCATAGGAGCTATTGGAACTCCCCTTAGATTTAGTTCAAAACAACGTTATCAAACAAGATGTTTTTGTGAACTTCAAATGAGATGACTCACTTGAATCACATTTTACAAATTATCTTTAAGTATTTTTACAAAAGTAGAATATTACTACTGTAACAATGTATTTGTTTGTATTATCAGAAATGCCAGCTTAGTGTTTTGTAAGGAAACTTTAAAGGGTAATGTTAAGCTTCTCATAAAAAACAACATGTTGTTATTTATGGATTGATTGAATATTTACTACATTAATTTTTTAAATTTCACCCAGTTGTTTTGTGGGGTCTCCATTGGTACCTGGTGTTGCTTTTGATTGATGTTTTCCATTTCAAAACGAATAGGCCTGTCCCCAATTTGTAACTCACTTCCCTGAATGATTGTTTCATTTGTAAATTCCCTTTGGGGCAATGAAAGCCCAGATAGAACACAATGTTGATTTTTGTACATGAAAATTGACTGTGACAAACTCATTAAGAAGGCAAATGGCATCTTGACTTGTCAGGATAACTTTTTGAAGGAACTTATGTTCTGTTGTTATAACAGGGTTTAGTTTTTATGGTTTCTTTATTTTACTTTACAAAATTATCTACAAATGACAGGGCCGAGGCTGAAATCAGCATTATTGGCCCTGTTAATACAAAGTTTATTCAAATTTACATAATAGCAACAAAATGACTACCAACATATATGTATGCATGGCAGGAATGTGTTAAAACTATATAATTATATCAATGCATTCACACAAAAAGGATGTAAAATGCTTCAATATTGAAGAATTGCATGTTATGCTAACTCCATCTCTGCCATACATTAAGATATTCAGCTTTTGCTCTACAGAGCATCCTGTAAAGAAAATGTTCATTTCTGGCATGTTCCTGAGTTCCCCCCAAAGTTTCTCTCTTATAACATTCAACAGAGGGCATTTGAAGATTAGATGCTTTGTAGGTTGTTGTTTAAAACCACAGATGCATTTGGGACTGTCAATACCTTGAAAATTATGTTGAAAAAGATGACCAGTAAAAATGAAATCACATCTTGTTCTATTCAGTAAAATTTCTTCTTTTCTTGTAAGATCCAGGTTTGTGGTTGTTAAATGCTTCATTGTTCCTGAATATTTACGTAAATTGGTTTTGAAAGTGACTCTTGATGGTGCACTTTTTAGATAATTTGGAATGGCTTCCCATTCTCTTATGGCATTTATTATTGGTGACTTTTGTGAACGTGCAGTTAACTTTGGAATAGTGTATTCTCTTGATTTTCTCAAGTTAATATTATGTTGCTTATTTTGATAACTATCAAAAATTTTTTGAACATAAGTTGGGACCAATTTCTGTCTAACATCATACATTAAACGTAAACGTTTCTCCTTTCTCCGCTCAGACAGGGTATTCCAATTTAGACATTTCAAAACCTTTACAGTAGATGTTCCATGAATGCAGCCACTTACTAATAATGCTGCCCTATAATGAACTTGGTCTAGTTTCATAATATTATACTTGGTAGATTTTTCAAATAATATACTTCCATACTCTAAGTTTGGGAGAATAAATGATAGATACATCTTCTCTAGGTGTTTAGCTCGAATCTTGGTCTTAAGAACTTTCAATGGATTTAACATTATATTACATGCTTTTATGATATCCTGTAAATGGGCTTCAAAATTAATTAATATTATTAATATAACAGGGTGAAGTTAGTCTCCTATTGTCATGGTTTCTTTTATTATGTAGCAGAATGGAATTAAGCCTGCATCTCAACACAGCTCATGATAGAATATATGAAATGCTTCTTTACTCCATTGACTTTGTCAAAGAGTTTTTGATGCATGGTCTTAGTTAAGCATCCAACTGAAAATTATTTTAAATTAAATCAATCATATGCAAGGGGAAGGGGGGTTATTCATCACCATTTTCCACTGAAGTTTTAAATGTTTGATTGCATGCATTAGGTGTCAGCATTGTGTTGTTTCTTGTATAGGTATAGCGTCCTTTGAGAAAGCCAGTTTGGTCATTTTTAATTAGTAAATGAATTCTTCAAGGTAATCTGTTGTGAGCGTATAGTCCAAGTTTATATCATTTGGGGTCTGTTATATTATCCCTCATCTGTTTTGTTGACGTATCTACAGTCCCTTATTCAAGGAGCTTTTGTTAAATTCAGTGGTTAGTCTATCTGAAGTGATTTAATAACTTTCTTGGCTCCATAGTATATGAAGATTTCTTTCAATACTTATTTAAGTATTGTCTTAAGGTGGTCAACATTTGTGTCACCCATTACAATAAATTTTCAGCAGTACCTAGTGCAAGGTTAGTAATATATAGGTAGTAAGTACCTCTTGAGTTGAAGTTGAAGGTGGAATTGAATAACTTATTATTATACAAAACATTACTTATCTCTTGTTTTTGAGAAACTGACATATCTTTATACGAACACACTGCATTGGACCTGTAGCCTGTGGCTCATCAAATTTGGAGGAGTATAAGCAAGAAGCAGTAGTAGTGCGCAGGCTATGGTTTGTTTAGCGACCAATAATACCAGCTTCGTTACATATGATTATGTTTTGGTCATTGTATCAAGATTGTACAATGTAATTTATGATTTGTGCCAGTTCTTTATCACATTCTTATTCCGGTATGATTCTGAAAGTCTCTTGCGTCAGTTGAACAAAGTTGAGTCAATTGAACATTGCACATTGTATCCTCATGTAAACAACTAACAATTCATCTATGATTTTAGTGTATGAAAGCTGAAGCATCTCCCATCCTTTGTGATCGTTTCAGACCTTCTTGGCATATGTGTGTTTGTTTTTTAAAATTAAAGATTAATAGAAGGGAGAGACTATGGACGGGGTCTTGTTCGGTCTTATTTTTCAGAACATCCTTATCCTCTTTGATTGAACAAGCTCAGTAATCATTTCAGCCATGAATTTATATAATGGAGGTCCCATTTCCTCCTGTAACATGGCCATACCAAGAATTTTCTTCATGAAAGAAGACAATGGGTATGCCTCGGATATTTCTCCTTGCCACTTATCAACATCTATAGCATTATCAGGGTCCCATTTATCCCAGATATATTTCAGATCGTGTATAGCTTCGGCCATGCTGTCTTTGATATTTTCTAGACCAGCAGTTAACGGTTGAGTGATATTGTGAACTCTTTTCAAAGAAAGTCCAGAATCCTCATTGAGATTAAAGTGGCGACATCTACCTTCAGGTCATCACGGATACGTGGACCAACCTGAATCTCAGTTTTTTGTACCATTTGATTGATTTTCTTGCAATACTGTATGGCTCAATCATCTTAAATTTGGTTAAGGAAAATTGATACATAGTTTCTAATGCAAGGTCATAAATGAAATAGAACAACGGCTGCATGGTATAGCAGATCCATTTGGTAAAAATCCCAATTTACAGGATTGTGAACTATCAAAAGTCTTTCAATTATTGTTTGTTATAATACTATATTTATTCCGATTGGCAAAATAGCATAATCACGGTGTAGAACCCAAACGCTCCTACATACATGACGGAGCGTTACATTTACGCGGAAACGCTCCGGAGCGAAATAAAATGGCGGCTAATGAAGATTCTAATATGACCGTAAGTATTGTTTCTCTTGTTTCTCTAACATATCATATGTCATGGTGAAATATTATGTACCATTCGATGAACAATACCGTGAGCAAAGATCTTATTTATTCAACTTCTGGTGGTAAACTGTTATTTGCTTGATCAAAGCTCCGTAGTGTAGATCTAACGAATCTGAAGATGACGATTTGACCA